GGCTAGAGTAAAATAAATAAATATATATATATTTACACACACAACCTCCACCTCATCATGCTGTGGAGGATCTGAGTCTTTTTTTGTGATGTGGGGATTGTGAAATGAGAAAGCACCTTAGCTCATCAGTGTGAGTCAGGTTGTGGATTAGATTAGATGTCTGGACCAACCTCAGCATTGCAACATTTCTGCTGCTCTTAAACCTGTGGTGTAACGAATCATAACGCCACCCTTACATGGGTCCCTATGCCCAACATTTTTTCTTTGTGTGTGTGTGTGTGTGTGTGTGTGTGTGGGATGGGGGTGGGGGGCCCTTGCCCTTGGGGCATGGCTCACAGCAGTGACTGCTTTGTTGTGACATCACAAAGTTCAGGAAGTCTCATTTTATTATTTCTTAATTTTATTTATTCAGATTATTACAGCTTATTATTTCTGGTGGTTCGAATACTTTTCTTTGCTTATGTAAAACACGTGGAAAGGCCTCTGTGCTGTATAAATAATTTTCCGCTCTTTGTTCTTCTACCTAGATTTCCACCATGCACCAGCTGTGAACAGACCAAAGCGCTGGAGTAGTGAGTTTGCCATGCTTCAAGCCCATTACTTTCATCTTTTTATTATAATGTTGTCAGATATAATGAAAAAGAATAAAGATGGTTTTTCATGTCTTTCTTAAACAGGACTTAGTGTGTTTGATTCTCTTCGTGGCAAAGGTGAGTTAATACAGTTTACACAGTTTATACACATTTATTAATCCAAAATTAATAAGAAAAAGAAAAGTATATACAATTTGTTTTAATAAACTATATAAAAATGAAATATATGTCACTAACATATATGGTTGCAATATGTTATACCATATAAAAAGTCATCATATAGATATTTTTAATACACATTTATTAATACACATTTTAATACACATAGAGCTAAAAGACCTCCAACATAAATGAATGCAGTTGTAAATTAGACAGTTTTTACAATTATTATGCATAAAGTTGTGTATGTGTGTTTTTGAATCTGCCAGTATGTTGCAGGTTGAATACTGACATATTGTTTCTGTTGATCCATAGATCCCAAACCAGCCAAGCCTGCTGGAGGAGGTTAGTCCACAAAACCTCAGCTGACACCTTTCTTATCAGTTTTTGATATACAGATGGATGATAATAAAGTTCAAATTATAATTCAGTTTTAAACATTTCATTCCTAGATGGCTACGGGTTCAATCTGGAGGATGCTCTGCGTCCAGGTAAAACTGTGAAATTAGAAAGAGTTGGTAGAGTTAGTTAGTGACTAAAATCTTTTTCACCAACAGCCACAACAAGACTTTTTATTTTGCACAATAAATCTTTATATTTTCTTACTTTGTTGTTCAATATCTCTAAATGACTTGGCACTGGATATGAGATGCATCTTGAATTGTGTTGTCAGAGACACTGATAATGAATCTGAGGTATCCCCATAAGCAAATTTGATATATGTACATATAATGAATGAAATATATGTACATCAAAAATAAAAACATATATGTAAAAATTTGATATAAAACCAATTTGAAATTGGAACACTTTCATATATTAACATATATGTCTTCCCTATACAAATATGTATGTTTATGTATGTATGCATATACTGTAGACATATGTTACATAAATATATATCCATCCCAAGGCCTGTCAATATAAGCTAATATTATAAATAGTAGAAACCAGAGGTTGGAGACCACTTTCCCAGAATGTGAAGATAGACATGTTTGAATATCTATTGAATATATCATATCATTTAAAAAAAAAATGTAGGCTATATATACAACCTTGTTTCGAGTGATCTCGAGTGTTAGGAATGAAGGAAAAATAATTTGGGCGCTCCATACTGAACTATTGACATGTTTATAACTGTAAAAACCAGGTGCCTTCAACTTTTCACAACTATTACATAAGCATGCAGAGGAATCATAGCCATGCCAGTCTACATCAGTTCCTGTCTAATATCAGGCACTTTCTGCATTTATATATATATATATATATATATATATCCGGATCAACAGATCCACAACTTCCCCAACTTGCCCCATGTGGGGAAATATTAACAGTCATAAACCAAGTATTCAGTGATTAACTGTTGGGGGAACAGTGCCACCATGTGGCCATGTGAGATATTTCACATTCTGAAAGGTTGTAGAAGCAATTTTTTTTTTTCCTGGATTCCTTTTTTCAAATTAAAAACTGAATTTTGTATTAGTGGTTCTCAAACATTTTCACATGAAGGACCCTAAAATGACAGAAATTAGACCATGGACCCCCATTTGATAAGATTTTTTCCCTTTAGATGCTTTATCCCAAACAGTGTTTGAACCCATGAACCAAAATAGTTATATATTCTGTCATTGTGTTACGTATGGATGGAATTATAGAGAAAAAAATGATTCCCCTTTTTGCTGGAGACCACCAGAAATCCCCTCAAGGACTTGAGAACCACTGCTTTGTATCGCTGGAGGCCAAGTGTTGTTACCATCTATTTGTAGATGATATTGCATATTACAATTAAAAATTTCACAACCAAATATAAGTGATGCAACAGAAACAGGACAGGTTTAATCATTACAGTCATTGGGAATTTGACAAAGACAAAAAGTCTTGGCAGATGTGCTCTCTAGCTAGTTATCTTTAATGTCTCTCTGTTCTTGTTTCTCCAGCTGTGAAGCCCACTGATAAACCCAGTGGAGGAGGTGGGTCAACAAACCTGTTCCTGCCCTCTGTATGATTCTCTGTAATTTTGGATAAAACTAACTTGGTACTTGTTGTATTGTAACTTCTTCCTCTAAACTCTCCCTCAGATTGTCAGGGCAATCTTGTCCAGAAACTGGGCACCATCATTGAGAATCAACACCAGCAGCTCGGCCTGCCGCTACAGCTGATGGCTAAGTCACCTTCATCTAAGTGAGATCTCTGGGGTCCCAAGGTGAGTGTGGAGGTAAAGGAAGATATGTATTTTCAAAGTTCTGTAAAATAAAATGCATCCTGTGGCTTTAACAGGCCCCTCAGTTATAGTGATACACACCCTCTGTTCGTTTTAACTGACTGAACCTTGCTTGTGTTTTTAGGTAGGGAGAGGAAGGGTCAACAGCCAGCACCCCCTGGATACGCCTGAACTTATCAATAATTTTCCTTATCAATAAACACTTATAAAAACACTGATGTTTAATGTGTAATGAGACATTCATACAGTCATAGCCAGAGGGGCCAGAACTTTTCCATATTTAACTTAAAGGCAGGAAATGATATTCATTGCTGCATTGTGTTGCAATTTCCTTCGGAACCAAGCCATTGTTAATAATATAAGATGACTTCCACCTGTGCTTTTCCAACTTTGTCAAACCAAATCAGATCTGAAATATGAAGACGTCTACCGTACCTTGCTCTTGAGTTCACTGTTCAGTAACATGTCCACAGTAATATTAAGGCACCCCAGACATCATCAAATCATACCTAATAGCATGTGGGTCTTGATGATTCTCTGGTCTACAAAGAGAGATATTTGAGGATGATTCTACACCGAACAGACGTTAACAACAAACTTATAGGTTACTGGTAGCAATTATCAGACGTCATCAAACACAAGTCATCAAATAAATCAGTCGCTACAGTCTCTAACAGTTCAAATTGACCTTGACATTGACATTGACCTTGACTTTGAGATTCAGTCCAATTGTTTTGCTCTGTGGTAAGCTTGCAAAAGTTCAATTCTTGCCTCTCCATTCTCACAAATCCCAATGTAACCCCTGGGGGCAGCAATGGAGAAAAAGCCCTGTTAAGCCCTGTTTGGTGCTTCTTCCTAAATGGTAGAGATAATAAAGGTGGTTTAAAAAAAAAAGCCTATAGTGTAGGTGCTCTGGTTCTCTTTTCCTGAGTCCTTATCAATTCTTCTTCACCTCTTTCCTTGACCTTATGATGTTTTCCATTGAGGTTGAGGAAAAATGGTTAGGAAATTAGATTTCTGTAAACTTTTTGACCCCAGCCATTGTCTGTTTGTTTGGCAGAATGACGGGAAGGAATTGCACTTGTCGACTGTGAAAGACTGGGCAATGAGAAGTTTATTTATTGTAGAAAAAGATTGCTCTTGTGTAGGCTTTACTATGATGATGATGAAATATGGTTGAGACAGTGGGCAGCTGTACATGCTGATGTCCCATCATCTTCTGTGAGTCAAAATGAAATGGGATCCACATGCACTAGGAGGCACACAAGCCCTAGTTGAAACAGTCGCATGCACCCTTGTGCTACCTTGAAGCTATCAATACATGCAATTATATATATATACATATATATATATATATATATATACATATATATACAGTGTGTGTGTGTGTGTGTATACAGTATATATATATATGTATAAAAATCAACAATGCACTAAAGGCCATTCAAATATTAGGCTACTATTTAAGGATGCCCCTCCTTTCAGCAACCACAGGACTCTTGGACATCCTTCACCAATCATACTAACAACAAGTACCTTCTGGTGAATTCGGTTACATCTTATTCAACCAATTACATTAAACAGCGCTTATTTTAATAAAAATGCAACCTTTGTTTTTGTGACAGAAGCATCAGAATGGGTTATAAAAGTTATTTTTCATTTAACTTTGTGGTTTGATATGACTGAACTCGATACCGAAATAATAATGAATGTAGCAAACATATATACACTGTTAAAATAAGCTTGGCAAGGTCTGTAGTTTTGTTGACACAAGAAAACATTTTAAATTGTATCATTTGTGAACGTAGTTCGGCGTCGCTTGAAATGAACGGAACTTTTTAGGGGTGGTGACAACTGACAGTTGTCAAGTAAAAGTTAAGTTAGCTTAATCTTTATGAAATTCTGTGTATGTCTCATTGATAAAATAACAGGCTAAATTCTTAATTTACATTATTTAATACCAGCGTGTAACGCCCCTGTGAGAGCCACACCCAGTCTGTTCTTCCCTGACAAAGTTGACTCATGAACTGTAAGAGGACACCAGTCTGGACAAGAAAACTGTGTCTACAAATACGTGCTAGCTAAAGAGAGGCACATGAAAACATAGCTAACGCAGTTTTTAAAAAAGAAAAACTATCTAAAAACTTAAGTAGCAGCGGAGAAAAGCAGGGAGAGCCAACATGAAGTTTTGTTTGAGGATTGTTTTACTTCTTTTTCTCGTTACTGGAACTTTAACAGACGGCGGTAAGCGAGTTATTTTAATTATTATCACAACACAAAGTATACGTTGTGTAATGACTACATTATGGCTGCGCTATGTATTTTAGTGTGCTTGCCTTTTAAGAGGACGCACAGGAGGCTTGTGGCTAATTTAAGACAAAGTATTGGATGTTTTGCTAGCAGCTCGCGGGGCTATTACCAAACCAAAGACAGTGTATCAGAGAACAGTAATAGACGCTATGGTTATTATGTAGTAGTTAGCAAATGGTGCTGAATCCTGGTGTGGACACTGTGTTCCCCAGCTTCTCACTGGGTTAACAGCCTCAGCTTAAAAAGGGAAAGATGTGTTGGCATAAGAATAATGACGTATTAATAACCCCAGTTTAAATTCTGAGATCTGGATCAGGTTTTATTCAGCAGTTAGACTGTGTGGTTCATAGAGTCTGATGATACAGGGCCATCAGTTTGCAAGTGTACAGAAATAATGAGGTCCCATAATGTACAAGAAACCCATAAATACTTTGGAAAAAATACAGATTACATAACCACTGGTAGCACTGGAATATTTCCTAGAACTAGAAACAAGTTGTGTGTGTGTGTGTGTGTGTGTGTGTTACTGGAAAATAAATTATTTTTTAATCATTTTATAATTAGTTGAGAGTTTGGGTTGACTGAATGGGATAGTAGCTTGTCTGACTGATCAATTTTTTGGTTTATTTATGTTCAGAAAATACTGCAAAATGTCAACATGGTAAGAAACTCACAAAAGTGAAGTATATTTCAAATCTACAGCTGCACCTCCAGATTCCTTCACCCAAAGTGTCCAAATTGTGTTTTGTTACGCATTTTCTTTGCTGGGAGGCTTTTAGTGTGAAGCTTCTTTTTTATGTAACAGCCTCCTGGGCAAAAAGTGCTGGCATGTTCTTTTCTGTGTCTAAATGACTCCCTAGCTTCAGCACTGACTCATACTTCAAAGTCAGCGCTGCCATGGTGACCAGCAAATACACTGTTTCGCTCACTGCAACACCCATACACGGAGCACATGTGTTTCCTCTTTGCGTGACTGTAGAGTCAGAGGTAGTTAGTGACAAACAGATAAACACTGATGCTGGTCAATAGTAGATTTCCACTCAAGTATGACATTTAAAGTTTTATTTCTTCTTAGCTGAGGGAGTTACTTAAGGGAGGTTTCCTTAGTTAAGGAAAAAAGTTGAGGCATTTACAGCAGTGAAAGGCATTTTACAGAAAGACATGAAACACCCCCACTTACCTGACCGGAGAGATCATATGGCATAAAATCTGTAATCATTTAGGGTTTCTCCTACTTGTCCTGGGATGTTCACATTCTTCATTTATCTCCACAAACTCAGACATGTTGCAGTTAAGATAGAGTCAGAGGTACCTTTAGTTTTTCCCCCTTACTTTTGTGCAACAGTTTAACTGACTTTAAGAAAACCTTAATTACTTCAGAGAACATTTCACGGGAACCTAAAGGAGACGACTTCAGGGTGTTTTGTGCAACTGTCTCTATTTTTTTAAGGAAAGATTAACTCAGACTTTAAGGAAAATCTTAATTTAAAGGGTTTTTGTGCATCTCTAGTGCTGATTGTAATACTGTCCCTTGTGTATTCTTCACACAGGATTTGATCTGTCTGATGCTCTTGATTTAGGTGACTCAGGTGAGTGACTCTCTGTAGTGAGACATTTTACAATCAAATCTGGCACCATGTTTTTTAAAGGTCCCATGTTGTATAAAGGTAGATGTCCATGTGTTGTTTGATTATAAAGCAGGTCTAGGTTCTATATTAATACTGTGCCCGTTATAGTGTTTCACTTGAAATGTGCTATATTTTTAATGGATCGCTCAGAAAACAGTCAGCCAATTAGAGGAGAGGCTTAGAGCCTTGTTGCTTGAGCTCCAGAGAGAATCAATCAGTCAAACTTAATTTGTACAGCAGTTTTCATACAGGTTAGTGCAGATGACTGACGAGCTAAACAGACAAAGGACGAATCAAATAAGAAAGCTGACAATGAGATACAATAAAATAGATGTAAAAAGCTACAATAACATTAATTAAAAAAAACATAAGAAATTTGATTATAAAATAAAAAACACAGGACAAATGTAAAATATGGGACCTTTAAAGCCCGAGCCTGGCTGAGTCTGGGTCCTGCTGTACTGCTGCAGATCTCTGGTCTGTGTGTTGATACAGTTAATAACCAAGCAACTGTCAGCTCTGATCATGTGCTGCAGCCTAATTATCACCAAACTTTTTTGTAAACTTAAAACCCGAAGCTCTCTAACACACAGTGCCCTCAGAAAATCCCACAATGGACCAGGACAACCCACATGCTTTTCTTTTAATGGATGCAAAATGAGTATAATGCAGTGCTGCCTGTGTCAGTGAAGAGTCATTCGTGTCTAAAATCTATTTATCTATTTATAGTCTATTTATTACACACTATAAAGTGAAGTATTGATGTTTATTATGTAGGGAATTCACTTAATGCACACTGTAAAGTTAAGTCTATTAGAGGGAAGAAGCTAGCAAAAGCAGATGAATGTTAAGTCTGAAGGGGAGGGTGGAAATGTTGACCTGCCCAGACAGTAACACTGGTCATTTCCTTTTCTTCCTTTACAAGCAACCTCAGCCCCCAAGGAGCCCCCGAAGGCCCCAGAGAAGCCTAAATCTGATGGTTTGTACTTCACCTGTTCATTGTAAAAGGTTCAGGGACACAGTAGAGTCAGAAGGGTTGTGGGTTTAACTAAATTGCCAGTTCTTACTCTATAGAAGGATTACTTTAACACCTACTCACTGTCTCTGAGGGACGCTATCTGCTTGCTAAAGCTCAGAGCAGCAGCCAGGATGTGGTTAGCCTCACTTAGCATAGACACCGGAACACTAAACCAGTGGCGTGCCATCGGGGCAGAGCGAGGCAGACAGTGCTTTACCAGTTAAGGCTAAAAATAGACGTCAATCAGAGCGATACTGAAGTGGAAGCGACGTCTCGCCTTACATCTGATCTCAGAACAGTGATTGCCTCATAAAGGATCTTTACTTCTGTAAAAGTCATCATATGCCACTGCATGAAACACCAGGAGGGGTTTTACAAGTGAGGAGGAGGTGATGCCATGTATGAAAAGCCACAACTGTTGGTTTGCTATGATGAAACACACTGAACCGTACCAACCAAAGAGGGAGATTATGCAGCTTGTGCTTGTCTGGCTGCTGTTAGTGTCACTTAAGGTTACATTGACCAGATTTTTTCACCTTTTCTGTAGATAGGATGAATCCTAGTGTATTCACCATTACCCCCAAAATGTCCACTAATACACAGAAACAACCACAGCTGGTGTGTGAGCCGACTAAGAGCCTGCTGTGAGCTAAATGCTTATATTTAGCAAGTGTAATGTTTACCATGTTCATTGTCTTAGTTTAGCCCGTAGCATGCTAACAATAGCGAATTAGAAGTAAAGACAGTGTCTAGCTGAGGATGACAGTATGTTTACATTGTATAGCCAAAGCTAATCGTATAATATGGTGTGGACTGGACTAGTTACCAGGCGACAGTTCAGGGTTATATTTTATTATTTTCTACAATTTCTTATTTGCGTTTATGTTAATATTAACTTATCTTAAGACTTAATAGAAAATAATTTATTCATATTCATTAATGTTTTTCCACACAGACCATTAATCAGGAATTGTTAAGGGAATCGATAAAGAATAGACTGATAAGCAGAATCAATAATGGCATTGGTATCAATAACATCTTATCAATTCCCACCCATACCTGCGAGGAACATGAATGTGTGAACCAAATGTAACAGCTGTTCAAACAATAGTTGTTCAGAATGAAAATATCTGAATGCAGTTTGAAATAATTTTTCTTTAAAGGACCTATACGTAACTTTTGCTATTGCTATGTAGCTAAGGTTAGCTTTAGCAGCTGTTTACTGACGGGACTAGAAGAAACATTGTGAGTTCAGCATCAAACTTTTTCATCAATTCCTGTCTCCAGTGGTGGAAAGAAACTCCTTGACTGAAGCTACTGATTGCTAGATGAAGTTAGCATGCTAACCAGCTAGCTCGTGCCTTTAACTCACCTGCCTGATTCCTATGATTTTGTGACAAACAATAGCTTCACACATGGAAATCACATAAGTCATCAGACAGGTTTGAAACTGGTTTTCCCCATGTTATCAAAACCACTGATTTGGAAGTGAAAACAAAGGACACTGCATAAACTAATCCACTTGATCTTGCATAGCCACTTCCTGCTTCAGAGTGTATGTATTATACCTAATACTACAGTGTTAAACATAAGAAATACCTGCAGTATGGTTTTAGTAATCTCAGGTTAAACACAGTTTGCATAAAATGGTTTGTTTGGAATAATCCAATACTTTTCCCATCATTTCCCTCCAGATGGGTTGGACCTTCTAGATGCATTTGGAAGTAGAATACACTTAAATACACTGTTTTTCACTTCTGCACAACAGTTGGAAAAGTGAGACACCCACATAAGATTAACCCTACGGCTTACTCTTAACTGTTGGACTAATTTAACCTTGATGAAAAAGAAAATTAAAGTGAACAGTTTGAGTGAAAGTCCTGCACTGGGAAGCTTCTTTTTTCTGTATCATATGGCAGTTTCAAAGCTGAATGATAGATATAAAGATGTTTTCTTGTCCTTGACTGCGTGAATATTTTTTTCATAAGATTTGACACCGGCTGAGAAACCCAAGAAACCAAGTTCTGGAGATTCTGGTAGGTTGGTTTTCTTGTTGTTTCCCCACAGTCTAGTGTTTTCTAGCTATGTGATGGTTTTGCTTTTTTGTGCTGAGAATAAGAGATGTCGCTTCTGTGATGTCGGTGAAGTAGTCCATTAATGTTTAAGGTTTGTGTGCTTATGTGTTACAGGTGGATTTGGATTTGACCTGGGGGACGCTCTGGGTCCAGGTAAAGCTGTCAGAGACTGAAGCAGATGGTGGAAAGTCTCTGTGATTTGAAAATGTTTCTAAATAGAGTCTGAAAAGACAAAGATATTTTCTTGTCCTTGACTGCATAAATAATTTTTTCATCAGATGTGCCACCGACTAAGAAACCCAAGAAGCCAAGTTCTGGAGATTCTGGTAGGTTGTGTTTTCCCACAGACCTCTAGTGTTTTCTACCTACGCAATAGTTTTAGAGATGTTGTTTCTCTGATGTGGGTGAACCATTAGTGTTTAAAGTTTGTATGTGTATGTATGTGTTACAGGTGGCTTTTGAATAAGAGATGTCGTTTCTGTGAAGCAGTCCATTAATGTTTAAGGTTTGTGTGCTTATGTGTTACAGGTGGCATTGGATTTGACCTGGAGGATGCTCTGGGTCCAGGTAAAGCTGTCAGAGACTGAAGCTTTTTATTATTTAAAAGCATACTTCATTTTTTAGCTATGTCAGTTAACTGTTTGCTGCATGATTGTCCAGTTATTGCTTAGCAACTCTAACTAAGCATGTCCAGGTTTAGATTTCTCCACATGGTGAAGTGGAATAATGACAATCATAATAATCGTAATAAACTTTGTTCATATAGAACATCTGAAAACAAAGTTACAAAGCTCTTTAAAAAAACAAGATGGCATCAGATAAGCTAAGATGAAATAAGATAAGATAAGATAAGATAAGGTAAAGTAAGCTAAGCTACAGTAAGGTAAGCTGAGATAAGCTAAACCACTTCTGTATTATACTTATCATATCAGAGGTGGATGGAGAACGATTCTCAAGTACTATAATAAAAGTCCAAATTAAGTCCAATATATTGTTAAACTGAAGTCTTGGTCATTTTGATTTCTGGCCAGTGCAGCTTTTCTTTTGGTTCATTAAAAGTGATTCAACATTTTGATGATAATGTCGCTGTACCCACAGACCCTAACCCCAAACCTGACAAACCTGCTGTCAACCCACCAAAGAATGGTGGAGGTAAGTCCAAGGAAGTTCTGCGACTTCTTATTTTAAAGAAACAAAGCTGGAGATACATTTATACATTGTGTTGTTAATGTCTCACAGGCGGTGGAACGTTTGATGACTCCGATTTGATAGGTGTTGGAGATGGGGACTACAAGCCTGACGGGGGCCGCTCAGGAGGAGGTAGGAAGTCTGTGCTGCTGTAAACATTGCTCATTTTGATTTGGGCGTTTACTTGTCGTGCCTGCTGCCTGATCGAATGTCACTTAAACACATCAGGATAAATACACACTTTCTGGTTTGTTACAGCACCCCTCATTACAAATTCACATCCCTATGCACTGCTGGTTTGATGATAAGGTTCAAATAAGGTGCTGTAATTAAATCTGTGTGAATCTTTAAATCTGAATTGCAGTTGATCAATTGATTAGTTGATGAGCCTTGAAACTGAGCCTTAAAACGAGCTGTCAGGACTTCCTGAACTTTGTGATGACTTAAACAAAATAATATATGGGACCTTTAAATAGTATATATCACATTAGTGCTGAGTATTATTATTTTACTTTAAACTCTTTGAGTAGAGTGTCTGCTTTATTTATTTATTTAGTTGCATTATTGCTCAATTGTTGCTCAGGTTATTTTTGTCCTCACACATTCAAAAGTTGTGTTGCCTGTAACTTAACTGCAGCTAACAGTTAATGAGGTTACTGACCACAAGCTGTGACTCGGTCTATAAAGTACAGTTTATTCACTGTTTCTCTGACAATAGCTATTTGTGTTTGTGCTTTCGTTTAGCTGGTATGGCAAATAAGTCAAATTTGTTTTAAAGAACTGTAATCCTCTACTTTTATATTGAAAACCAGATGTATTTTCTTCAGAGTTTCCCCTGAACTGTGCTCAGTTTATTATCTGTTGAGTTCATCAGTCTGTGGAAACAGATGTAGAAAAATCAAAAAATTTATGAATTCTAGATATTCTCTGCTCAAGTTTAGTGCTTGTATTTTCATAGGTTGTCATGGTTTACATAGAAAAAAGAGGCCTATTGTTCATCCACTGAGGCACAGATGCTGTCTCTCTCTATACTGTTGTTTAGTCAGAACATGGAAGGAATTTGTTGTTCTACCAAAGAGAGAAAAAGAGAATAAAAAAAAAAACACAGGATTGCCATTCTAATTAGAACCACATGGTTGATTCTGCACAATCATATACAGCAGCTACAGTAACCTGTTATTAACTGCAGCTCACTGCATACCGAAGGTCTCAGCTAGAATTTACTCATGGTGAATAAAGCAACAGTACTACTGATCTACTGTGTCTATTTCTGTTGATGTTAATCAAATGTACCGTTTCTCAGACTCTGCTGTTGGATGACCAGAAAAAGTGTCTAACTTGACTTTTTTCCTTCTCTTGAATCCAGGCGGTGCTATGGACCCTGGAAATGATCATCACGGTACGTTTTTTATTGTTATTCTTACTGCTGCCTTGGATTACTGGAGCATCTGATCACAACAAACCAGTTGTGGATGCATCAGTCGTCAACATGCAAAACAGTTCTAGTTTAGTTCTTCATTTCTCTATGCGATGTTTTATAATAACTGAAATCAAAACATCAGCAGCAGCAGTAATATTTCTCACAGCAACATCATCAGGTTTAATTTATAATTTGTCCAATAAAATACCTGCAAAATTCCCCATCAACATCAACCTAGCAATATGGTAATGGTTACCATGGTAAATATTAGTTATTGTATTATTATGTAGGTTTTGGTGCGTCATATATGTTTTATAGTTTGAAAGAATGTGTGTAGACTGATGTGTGTTCCTGTATTCCTCACAGGTGGTGCCGATCAGCCTCAAGGTAAATCCATCTCTGCTGTTGTTCTGGATCTACTTCCTGTCTTGTGTGTCTGCTCTGTCAGTGTCACTTTAGGCATCGTTATCTTTACCTGTAGAGTCGATTTGCTCTTGAGCTCTTCTTGGGAATTTCCTGTTGAGGAAGCTGTGCTCACTGCTTCTGTTTGTCACTGAGCAGTTGTGTTGGTGTTTCATTTACTCCACGTGCTGCCGTCAGACTCTATTTGCATCATCTTGACGGTGAATTTTCAGCTGGAGACTTAACATGTTCCATCAGATGCATTTAGTTTAATTTCACCTGACAAACCTGGCGTCTGTGAGGATTAATTGTCAGTTGGCTTGAGTGAACTTCTTCACATCGTTACCCCTGGTCTGGTTTCTCCAGCTAAAACCCTGCTTCGATTGTGTGTCGTTGCAGATCCAGACCTTCTGTGGGGCCAAATCCTGAAGATGCTAAATGCTAACATGCCAGAGGAATTCTATATGTGGATGTCCAACTTAAAGCAAATCTTAACACCTCTGCTAGAGAGGGCCATGGAACTGCTGCAGGCCATGCCATGAGCCATCAGTCCATTAATGTTCTGATTGGCTGTCAGGTCTGAGGTTGCACTCAATTAGCGGTTTACAAAATGTTTGATGGACTCGAGGTTGAAAAAAAAAATATAGTAGTTCTCTGAAAACTGGGTGCTTAAGCTTATCATATTACAGGAAGTGGACATAATAACAGAAGCACTCACACCAACAAATGTGGTAATGTGGTATCAACCTTTGTGACTGACTGACTGAGTGATCATAGTTCCACCATTGGTCAGCCGATTTTATTTTGTCCATCCCCTTTACATTAGTGCAAGAATGACAACTACGGATGAGCCCAGAGACCATGCTAGATCAGCTAGTAGCTATTAGCAGCGTACAAGTTGCTGTCAAAGTTTACATAGAAACAAGAGAATGTAACAGTCTCTGCGGCCTTTGACCTCTGGTTTACTCTCAACAAACAACACAGCATTGACTTTCTCCTGTGAGTCCAGACTTAACAGACACCCTGTATCTGGGTGTGTACATACTTTACTTTTTCTTACCCTCTCCACCCTGCTCTCCTCTTTATGGTTTGCCATGACTCATTCATGTGTTGTTGTTATGCAATATTTATGTTGCAGTAAAGGGTGAACACCTGTTACCTGATATGCAGGGTACTTTCCTTTTCATTTTTGTTTATGTTGGTTGTTTTGATGCTGGTAGGTCATTGTTTTCCTGGTATTTAAATAAGCTCATGTGCAGGAAATGTGTGTGAGCCATTTCCTGCACATAATAACCAGGATCTGTTAAGTTAAATTTCATGTATTGGTCTGTGAGCTGCACTTTAGAAAATAACATAATGTTTACATCCGTAGAAACAAAGTGTTCGTGAGTCTCATTACTCCATGTCCGGACACGCCCTGGATCCTTTACACATTCTTTACATACCATTCAAAGTGCTCCGCTGACAGATCCAACATGTTGAGGTGTGAACCTCCAAGATGTTTGTTCTTATCATGTAGAATCATTCATTTTCTTTGGATAAACTTCGCTTTTAGATGTTTGATCAGATGATGTTTTTCCCTCTGGTACTTTGTAGCTTGTGAATAGTTCTTTGTTTACTCTGGTAACTGGTAGTGTATTTATTTCTGATGTCTTCTCTGTAGTTGTAACTTTTCTTATTGTTGCCTTGAGTCTTTCATGGGATTTGTGACATTGCTGCAATGACAGGAAGTTTTGAAATAATGAATAAAACAAACAGCAACCATGTTACTTAGAAGTCAACAAAACAATGATTCAAACTAAAGTAAGTTTTGGTTAATTTGAATAAAAGGTCATGAAAAAAATCTAGGAATAAGACCTTGTTTCAACCGCCCCTGGTTGCAACCGTCCCCAGTCTCCTCTAGCATGTGTGGCTAAAACAGACGCCTCCAGTAACAAACAGGATTGGGAGTAGAATACAGCACCTTCAGGTGTCCTGCATGTGTGTGGGAAAGAAGAACGCTGTCCACATGCTCAGCATTTTCTAGCAGTAAGTCATTCTATAGGCTGGTATCCTTTCTATATCGGTTTTCTTTTTTCTTTTAACGTGCAGGCAACGCCCTGTTTGAATACACTGCACCATCACAAGACACACTATGACTCATGATTCACTGTTTGCTCGTTATTATCATCCCTGCAGCTGGAGTGTTCGTTATTGGTGTGAGTGTTTGTGTGTGTGTGTGCGCTCCTCCCTGGAGTCTGGGTGTGTTTTTTTTCAGCTTTTAATCTGTTTGTCTTTGTGTTGCTGTTTTTTACTTTTCAGTTTGTCCTTGCAGTGTGTCCTGGACACTTTATCCCAATGCAAGTTAATCCTGGCTGGTTATTAAAAGTGATTGGCTGCCACCTTGTGGATAACTGAGGTTATGACAATTCAGTTTGGAAACCAGGGCCGAAATTGATCAAACTATTAGAAAACTAAAAAGAAGACATTATTTATGAGACTTTTATTTTCTTAACGGATGTAAAGAGCTGGAATCTACTGTTTAATCATACAGATAAGACATTTTACTTTTTATTGATAGTATGATAGATCTATAGTTTAGATCTATCATAGATCTATGATTGTAACCTCAGATTCTGACCCAGGATGACCATATTTCAACATGTAGTTCAGAGGACATAATATATATATATATATATATGTTGTTATATATATTCTGTAATACTCAGGTGTGTGTATGTGTGTGTTTGTTCTGCAGAGGCGGGGTCAGGCCAGATTGCAGGAATTGCCAGCGCCATAGGAGTTGCTCTGCTGGGAGCAGCGTCCAGTTACTTTGCTTACCAGAAGAAAAAGCTGTGCTTCAAGCTGCAGGGAGGTTGGTCTGGTTTTTTCTTCACCCTTGTGTACAGAATCACAAATAACAGGTAGCACAATAGTGTTATCAGAGCAGATGTCACTGATGAGAGCGTCTTTGTTCAGGTGCAGATCCAGAGAGTGGTAAAGGCCAGCATGGTACTCACTCCGACCCTCAAGGTAAGTTTCTGTGTTCGTCTTGAAACACTTAAAGGCTGATCTTCAGTGCTCCTTGTGAGAGATTCCCAGAGTGTTGAACTTGTCTGGACGGTGGAGCAGAGACTCTGAAATCTCCCATAGGTGACTCTTAAAAGCAAAGTTTTAATCTTTCTTTCAAAAATACTTAGTGAGCTGCTTCTCTGATATCTATATCTAAAGATATCTATACCTATATATCTATAGGTCATGTGTTCCACAGCTTTGGGCCAGAACTGGCAAAGGCTGCATCCCCCGTTTCCTGCATTACTGGGAACCTTCAATTACCCAGCAGCAGATGATCTCAGTGCTCTTGAAGGTCTATAGTTAATGTAGCTTGGGCCTTATCCGTGAAGGGCTTTGGATATAAGAAAGAGGAGATTCAAATCAGTTCCAAAATAACAGGAAACTAAAACTGGACTAATGTGCTCCATCTTCTTGGTTCTGATTGGTTAGTACTTAAAGTAAAGGCACTCTACAAGGGTATAAAGTACAGAACTAACAGAACTAAAGAAAGAGTAGACATCAAAATAATCCATATATCCACAGGGGAGTAACAAAATTTGCGTCACCCAGTGGTGAACTTCAGGTAGTGCAGGTAGTTGCTCTAGAATCCACTCAGCCTCTCTGCATTCATTGTCTTCTTCTTTTCACTTCCAGTCCTCAGCAACCTCCTTAGGACGAACTAGACGCATTAGACGAGAGGCGTCGTCACAACAACACAACTTCATTCAACTTTCAGTCATCTCTGGTCCAGACAAAGAGACTTTCCCCGGGTCTTTCTGCTGCATGATTATAAAACACATCATTTAAAAACACTGTATCCTGAGAAAATGCAGTTAGTTTTTTATCATTTTATTTTTCTGTTCTCTTTTAACTAAATCTTTATCCTGGTGATGATTTCAACAAATTTCATCTTTGTGTTTTTGTGCTTTGGCTGTGTGTGATGACTGTACACAGCAATACAGAGTTTTGGTTTCCTGACTCTTACACACTTATGTGTGTGCAGTACAGTGTGTGTGTGTAGTTTAACATAGTTGCTACAAGGTGTTTGTTACAGATGTTTTCTTTTTTTCAGTGTGGCAGACCTCGAACAAACCTTTAATTGTATTTGTGTCTGTTTAGCTCAGAAATGATGTAGAATATTTTCTTTTGCTCCTTAAATTTTAAAGGGTTGGTTCACCTAAATTACAAAAAAAAATGCGGATAGTTCTATTTGTATTTTTCCAGGTTTTGAGGTGGATGCAGAAGTACCAGCAACTGTTACCTTCCACTTTCCAGTTGCTTCCACATTGTCGTTTTTTTTTGTCTTCAAAGCACCTTAACTCGTCCTAAAGATCTTTCACATTCACTCAGGAGAGATTTTTGACAGAAAGGCAAAACATGATTGTTCTTCAAATGATGTTCATGCTGTGGAAATTATCAAGATAACCTGTAAACATGGAGGAAGTGTTGAATTTGCATCAACAACAAATTAATTAAAACAGGTTAAATTTCAAATAAATTCCAATTAAAGGTCCCATATGTTACACTTTCCTGTATTTTATTTTGAAGTATTGATCCATTACATAAGAAGACATATTTTTGGTTTTAAGAACCAAAAACCACCTCAGTGTAGTTTTACATCTCCTCAAGCAGAAAACAGCCAGCTAATAATAAGAAAGGAGGCTCTGAGCCTCTCTTTTGATTGGCTGACTATTTTCTGAAATAAAACTGAATGACTAACTGAATAAAAATATAGCAGATTTCAGGTGAACACTCAGAGAAACCAAATCCTGCTAGATTGGATGGTGGGTGGGTCCAGGTGTGTCAGACTTGAGGTGGTGACTGCTTTGTTGTGACATCACAAAGTTCAGGCAGTCCTGATGGCTCGTTTTGAAGCTCAGTTTCTGAATAGAGGCTGTGTGCATGTGGACTGAGCACTTTGATACTTTCACAGTATTAATATAGAGCCTAGAGCTGCTTTATAATCAAACAGCACATGGACATTTTCCTTTATACTATATGGGACCTGTAATTAATAGTTTAAGAAATGAAAGTGAGCATATCTACAGCATGAACACCAACATGTCTGAAGCTGTGTCACCTCTCACTCAGAAGAAGGAGCTTTTTGATCTAAAATGCTGTGTGTGTGAAGAGATGAAGGTTTTGAAACACAAATTAAACTTACTACATGTAAACAACCAATAAATCTACACAAAGTTAATATCACATATGTAAATGTAACATACAGGACACGTATCAGCTTTTTGCTTCTTGTTATTTTGGGGTTTCATCCGAAACCCAGTGCACTGCAAAGTCAATTTTTGTTTGATATGTGAGAACTTTTAAGTTTCTCAAAGCTGCACTAATCGATATCTTGATACTAACAACAGATTCATTGATCGCTTTGAGTGACAAACGCACAGTTTTACAGCCCGATATTATTAAAGATAGATCACAAATGAGCACGTAAAGCATCATAAAAGCAGAACTGTTGCATCAGCTGTTGTTATGATGCTAAAATATTAAAATGTGCTGCCTTCTGTGAGCTGTAAATACTTGAGAATGATGTGTATAGATGTGCGCTGATGTTTGCTTCAGGCTTTGATGCTGCAGTTTTTACTTTAAGGTTTTCAACATAAACAATCATAATCTCATTTTGAAGTGTATTATGGGATTTTTATTTTCTATTTTTGATTCAAACATTACAAGCATACTTTTATGAGTGGTTTTAAAGCGTGTGTACATGTTTTCAATAAAAGTGCTGTTGTACAGTTTATGAATGTTTTGTTGTTTTGTCATCAAACCCAGATAGCAAAATGAAACTTCTGGCTCAACATAGGCCCGAGTCATCGGTCTGAGTCTGTTAAGAATAAAGAATAAAATATGAATAATATTTTTAAATGTTTTAAAATGAAATTATCTTTAAATTGATCATTATAATTAAAACAAAAAGTTGAATGTGGGCTGGCAGCATTTTTGAGATTTTAAAGTTGGTCATGAGGTGGAAAAGGTTGGGAACTACTGACCTACGTTACATAAATACATCCTACATAAATACAACCATAGTTATATAACACATACTGTATTTAGATCTGGAGACGGGGGGTGGGGGGCTCTGAATTTACTGAACTCACTGTCATGTCGATGAAACCAATTTGAGACATGGAGCATTTTCCTGCTGGAAGGAGCCATTAAAAGATTGACACCATGATTGATTGGTATTAAGGGCCCAACTTGTTTCAAGAAAACATGTTTTTCCCTAACTTTATGTTTTATGGTTGATCATTTTTTCATGACTGTTTTCTCCCTCCCTGTCAATGATTTACACTCAGCAACTACTCAGGTCCCTGCTGCTGCTCGGTAGCTGTCTAAAGATGATCTGAGGGATCACCCTGATCACTAAACTGCTAAACTGGCTAACAGCTTAGAGTTTGTTAAAACACTGTTAATTATTTAAGTTATAATTAAAATCATGGGACTTTCAGAATCCCTGAAGTGATTTTTTATTTTGCCAGGACCATTTTTCTAAGGGAAAAAAAGAGGCTAAAAACATTTTTTCACTTGCCCTTCAGGGGTTCTGCATGTCTGTGTTCTAACTATTTGCAAATATTCCTATGTGATGTTTTGCGCTTCTTTTGTAAATGTATGATCATGTGCTTGTGTAACACTTATGAGAGGTTAAAGAAAGTGATGTAGAAATATGGATGATATGGAATGGGCTAGTGTAGGTTCGTCTATGGAGCTGTAGTTGAAAATTAATAAAACACAGGAGACTGAATGGATTAAGTTAAACCGGTTGTATTAAATATTTCAACAAAAAACACTTGAATAATATCAAGAATAACAACAAACAAAAAAAAACAACACTAAAATTAAGTATTCAGTTATTCACAGAATAGTAAGTTTTTCCCAGGAAAGTTCAAATGTCCATGTTCATATGTCCATACACCAAATCATCAATAAACCACCAAATCCAAAATGTTTGTTCACAGAGCAGTGTTCAATCAGCAGTGCATGTAGTGAGTGAAGGCAATCAATGCAGGTGAGGCAAATCACACAGAGGAAAAGGCGGGACAAACTCAAGGAAAAGGGACTTCTGATTGGCCCACATGACAGAGCAAGATGACAGGCAAGATGACTTTTGACTGGGTTACCTGGGTTACACTTGTCTGTTCTATAGGTTCATTTCCAGTTAGGATATATCTGACTTTATGTGTTTAGTAAAAACAAACAGAAAGTTCAATCTTAATCTTATAGTTAAAAAAAAAAAAAAAAAATCCAAACTCAGATCCTCTGATTTCTGTTTTTTTTGTCCTTATCACTTCCTTTACCTTTGAGTCCTAAAAGTTCTTTGAACTTATAACAGCTCACATGTCAACACATCCATCTCCATGGGAACTCTGCAAAGGCCAATCACTGATGAAGACCATGCAAAAGCTCTGAAAAAAAGTTGGGATTTTTTTCATGAGTGTAAAGCAGCATCTCACTGTAATGAGATGTGAGTGTGGTAGAGTGTATGTTGATTTCCTGCAGCACTGACATGTGGAAAGTGAAAGTGAACACACTGTGAAGCTCAACTCTGTTGCACAACAAGACAAAGCCAACCTTCTACTAGTTGAACGACCAGTTGAACAAACAGATAAGCGCACACACACACACACACACACACTTCCCTCGGCTGTTAAAAACAGACTTCAAATGACTTTATGTGCAAGCGTCACACAGTAATTCATCCCCTCAGTATTTAGGTTCCAGTAGCAGCTGGCACAAAGATGCGACTTGTCATCTGGATCTGTGATTGACTGCACCTACGAGACCGTATGAGAGGAGCTGAGCTGTGGATCAGTGAAGTAACTGGATTTACACAAGGTCAAACATGTCAGGTAGGTGACTTTATTTCACATGAACACATACAGTTTCAAAGTTCCGTTGGTTGACCTCCGCACAGGTTCATTAAGTTTAATAAATAAAAATCACGCTTCTATAACCTGAACCCTGGGAGCTGAGCTGTAATTCTCTCTGTGAGTTTTTAAATGATGAAAATACTGTAGTGACCCAGTGTGACTCCTCCACACTGTAACACAACACGCAGCCCAGACAAAAGGTTACATACCTCTGCACCTGACTGCAGGCCAGGAAACTGATGCTTGTTTCCCCCCCTATATTAACACCATAATGGAAATAAATACAGAAATACTGATTACATTCAATGGACAAACCAAATGATTAATCAGATTAATGTGGATTTATATATAGCTACATGTTTATAAGCAACTAAAAAGCTGATCACTGATTGATAAGATGAACTGATCAATTAGTTTGACGACAGTGAAACGAAGCAAAATCTTACAGGAATAACCAACTTGTCTAAATATAACAAATCAAAGCACTATTCATTATTATTATTATTTCGCTCGCGTGTGTGTGTGTCCCACTTTATACGCTGGATGGGGGAAAGAGAAAAGTGTCAGACACACACAAGATGTGGACCCACATAGCGGACTCAGATGAGGGTCAGGTTCAGAGTTTGTATCAGTCCAAAACCAGGGCAAAAGTGATCAGTCAATCTGGCAGAAGTATCAAAATCATCAGGCAAAAATCGATGATCAAAAAGCAGGTAAAAATCACATAAACACGAGAGACTACATGAGAGAATGCTGGAACACTCACACGGGGGGTGAAGACGATCTGGCAACTAATGAGGGGAAGACAAGGACTAAAATACTCTAAGGCAGGGGAGACAATGAGACACAGGTGAAAAACATTAAGTAATCACACAGGAGGGAAACTTGACAGGATGTGGGATCTGAAACGAGACAAGACAATGGTTACCAAAATAAAACAGGAAACACAGGGAAACATTAAAGACAAGGAACCATGAACTGAAGTCACTTGACAGGTCATGACAAAAAGGAGAGAAGGTGACAGCAAGCTTATTTTTTGATTATAAATAGAAAGAAACTATACATTTACTCAAGTGCTGAATTTAAAGTTCCATAACGTATAAAGATAGATGCATGTTTTCTTTGAATATAAAGCAGGTCCAGGTTCCATATTAATACTGTGAAAGTATGAAGAGCCTCAGTCTAATCCTGTCATCTGATCACTCTACAGCTGGTGAGGCCTTCGTCACCCTGGCAACCACAGACTCCTACTGCATGGGTGCCACAGTGGTGGCCAGGAGTTTACGGCGGCATGGGACAACTCGCAGCATCGTCGTCATGGTCACGCCAAACGTCTCACAACAGTCAAGGTGAGTGTGGGACAGGTTCCTAGATTTCCTGATATGGACACACACTGTCCTAGGGGTGGGCAATCTGATGATCTTGTAAGTTTAGTTCAATTAAGTTCAGTCACTGCTAACCAGCCCATTGATAAATGCTAAGCTGCTAAGCTAACTGCAGCTGGCTTCTTGTTCTGCTCTGTAGCTTGGGCGAAAGATCATATGACAACCTTTCTGGGTAGAATCACAATCCACGATCAGACATGCGAATATCCTCACTGATTTAGTCGAACTCGTGATCACAAGTTCACATCACATTAGTTTTGCCTGGAGACAAAGCTTTCAACTCACTTCAACTCAAGGTTAAAGGCCCAACTCACAAATCTTTACATCTTGTTTCCGCTCTGATTTTATCCTGAATTCCTGAAAGGAAGTTGTGATTCGTATCTTTGATGCTACTCTTTGCCCACGATGCTGTTTTCTGTTTACTAACTGTGTCACAACCAATCACACTTTTTGCCTGGTTCATATAGAGTATTCATTTGAACTTCAGTCGTTGCTAACCAGCTAGCCATAGCTAGTCCCACTTCCTGTTTCCCTCCCTGCAGGACGGAGTGTAACTCCACCATTTTGCGCTACAACTGGTGATGCTAGTTCTTCTTCTGTTCAGGTGGAGAACCGGTTAATATTCCGCTTCTCCAAGCTTGCGGAGGCTTCAGAGCAGAACAAGGACTGCCGTTTGCGGGCCAGCAGTTTAGCTATTGATTGAACTTTTAGAATTATATATCCACATACAGCACCTTTTATTGATCTGAAAAGTAGATCACGTGCCAAAGAAAGGTTGTTTACAATATAAGATCGTTTGATCACCCTCCCGTACTTAAGGCTGACTATGCTTCATTTATAACGTTTATTAGGTATTTTTTTGTGTAGAACCATAAACCAACAACTTTTTAATACTGTCATATAACCTCTTGTTCCCTGGTAACAGTGGCTACCATACCAACAGTTCCCTAGCCATACTGTATGTACCCTTATCCAACAGGCTTGCCCTTGAGAGCGTGTTTGATGAGGTCATCATCGTGGATGTGATGGACAGTGAGGACCACCTCCATCTGTCTCTGCTGGGACGTCCCGAGCTCGGCATTACTTTCACCAAGATCCACTGCTGGACCCTGACACAGTACAGCAAGTGTGTCTTTCTAGATGCTGATACACTTGTGAGTCCACTTAACATACAATAATATACAGTATGTTGACTGCATTATTGTGATTGTACATAGTGTAAAGGTAGATGTCCATATTTGATAATAAAGCAGGTCTAAGTTCTATATTAATACTGTGAAAGTATGAAAGCGCTCAGTCCACAGAGAACAGCCTGTATTCAGAAACTGAGCCTTAAAACGAGCCATTAGGAGCGTTTCCCGAAATCTGCCATATTTCTATTAGATCACTCCAAAAACAGTCAGCCAATCAGAGGACAGGCTCAGAGCCTCCTCTCTTCTGATTGGCTAACCGACCGGTTGTTACTAGAGCTCCAGAGAGGAGCCTGAGAGAGAAGATGTAAAACAACACTGAGATGGTTTTTGGTTCTTAAAACCACAAATATATCTTCTTATGGATCAACACTTCAAATAAAACATGAAATAAATAATAAATAAAATAAAATATGTGACCTTCAATGAAGCCATTAATACTATGGCTGATAAAGGTGCCAGAAATGTTTGTGGTATGAAAAGTATCACTACCACTCTAATGCCTGAGAGGATTCATGCTTCTAACAACCAAAAGTAACAATTATATACATAAGCCTAAAACCTTAAAGATGGATGAATCCTTCATTTATTCCTTTTTATTGTGTTGTACACATTTCAATCCACAGCTTTGATCACTCTTCGGAGGATTAATCCCTCGAAACAAACACAGAGAGCTCAGTGTAAATAGAGTGGTCCTGTGCCTCAGCAGACATTGCACAAATCACTGTAAAAGCATGTGAACTGACTGATTGGTCAAACTAAAGGTTACTACCAGAGGCAACAGTTAAAGTTCATTCTCCATTCATGCTCTGAAGTGTTGGCCAACATGTCAGTGTCGGTCAACAAAGTCAAACATGTTCTGATTGAAATCAATACGAATACTCATGTTGGAGGACATGTCTTGGAGGATGTTGTTTAGTCAGTGCAAACATGTTCTCATGTCAGCTGAAACAGGTATGTTTGAAGACCAAGCTCAGTAAACACAGGAGAAGATAGAGTCATACATGCACTGAGGCACATATGCGAACATATGTGAACTTGAATAGATGTCTTAGGATAAGTGGTCATTCTAGTCACCACTCCTTGTGTCCAAGGGGTGTAAAGGATAGGTTCACTTTTCTTTGGGTCTTCAGGTAAGGGTTCTGGTTAGGGGGAACTGTCCTCTTGTCAAAATCGAGCCCACAGTGTTAAGGGGTTTCACTGTGGCGAATGCAAACGAGCAGATCCAACGGAAGCGCAAAAGCAAATTTGAAGCGACGGAATTGGAGGTGCTGGTACAAGAGGCAAACAAGCACATTTCTGAGTTTCATAGCAGGCACTGCATGACTCCTCCTTGTGACTGGATCCAAATCAGCTCCTACTTCACGGAGAAGCTCCAAAATGGCATCGCCGGATAACCGATACGCCCTCTCGTATTAATTTTTTTTGTTTTTTCTGTATCATCTGCCATTTGCGAGTAGTTGATCGATCGCTCGAGACAGAAATAGTAATGTCATTCCTCTTTTCCGTTTGCCACTGCTTAAGGGCCTGATTATACTAAAGCTTTGACGTGCGTAAGAAACGTGCGGCAAAACGCGACACAGACGGCAGCAAAAACACATGTTTGATGCGAGATCTACAACAACGGTTAGCGCACGGAGGATTTGCGTTCTGTCAGTCGGCAAAATAGAGCAGGCGCTATCTCTATTTTGGCTTCTGCCTTCGTATCGATTTGCAGTTCATGGATAGCGACTGAACCTAGCTTAATCTTATGAGACTCGGCGCGAAATATTGGAAGGAGTAGATGCAAAATAAGGAATTCTATTTCTATGCGCGACTGATTTGCAAGTGGTGATTTTAATACCAAATCCGTTCCTTTATTTTACAACTAATTGGCGCTGATTATTTTTTGCGAATATATTTAGGCACGTTTTGAAGTCAAGTCTTAGCTACCTGGCACAGCCGTGGCGACACGAGATGGGCTGCGGTCATTGTTGCAAGGAGGCGGCGTAGGCACGACACGCAACGGAGAGAACAGCATCTTTTCTGTTCGTGTCACTCTTTTGGAATGGCAGCAAGAAGAAAAAATGAATATCGAGAAAAAATATCAGAGAGAAAATCCTTAAATAATAAATGTTGCATCATAATGTGCAAGTGTTTCTTGTTTGTGCTATTTTGACAAAACAAAAACCCAATTTTTTAATTTACTAAAGTCCCACTTCTTTTAGACATAGGAAACATTTATGTCGCATGCTTTTTAGCATAGAATTTTCCCAGGTTCCTGTCATTTTTTCTGAAACTTAAAAACACAAATGAAACGAAGCACACACTTCTGCGCCCCTGCTGGAAACGTTTCATGACGCACGTTCATGTCTTATGTGGTGTACCTGAAGATTAAAAAATTCCCAGGTATCCACGATAATCTGCTCATCACAGAACGTCAGCTGCACCTGCCTGTCTAATGGAGACAGAGGGTCCTCCTCCGCCGGTCCTCCACCTGTTTTATTTGCCATTTGTTATTCTGTTCGATTTTTTCCCTTTGTTCTTCTACGAATGTCTTGCCACCTTTTCTTCATTTCATCTGGTGTTCTTTTGGTTTCCCCCACAGCATTAACCTTGTCACAGACTGCCTCCCATATTGCATTCCTCCTAATAACGGTTAAATTCCTTTGCTATAACTCAGAAATGTGCTTGTTTGCCTCTTGTACCAGCACCTCCAATTCCGATCCAATTGGATCTGCTCGTGAACATATGTGAACTTGAATAGATGTCTTAGGATAAGTGGTCATTCTAGTCACCACTCTCAGTTCCTTTCAGTTTGGGTACAATGATGTCCAAGGGGTGTAAAGGATAGGTTCACTTTTCTTTGGGTCTTCAGGTAAGGGTTCTGGTTAGGGGGAACTGTCCTCTTGTCAAAATCGAGCCCACAGTGCAGCAGGTTATTATGACCCATAGGTTTTGTTGCTAGGCGACGTCTAGTGGTCATAGTAATTACAATAGGAGCAAATGAAAAAGTGCAGTGATGTAGTATAAAGAGAGACAAAGTATGTCTGTACTCATTCTACACTACAGCTACTCGGTATTGGAAAGTGATGAGACTGGGCAAGAGCTAGCTGGTTAGCATCCTAACTTCAGTAGTAGAAAAGAAGTGATAGAAATAGAAGCAAAAGAAGAGGGTTGCTTTCAGACAGCTCTTAGCAAGTAAAGGAATGAAGATTTATGCTGAAGTTAGCATGCTACCCAGCTAGCCTGGGCCCGTTTCATCACTTTCCATTAGCAACTCACTGCAGCCTCCAATATGCCCTGAAGATGTAGTGCCACTAAGAGGACGTATTATAACCTCTTGTACTATAAAGACAACAATGGCTGAAGCTCTTGCCACCAACCATGTTTGGTAGCAGAGACAATAACGTGAGACAATAGCCAGATTCACAAAGGGTAAGTTCACAAAATAGATAAAAAAAAGTTTTATTTATGTCTATGCAAATTTGAGACTTTCTTGCCCACAGTAATTCATCAAATACAAACAGACGAAGCGGAGGCAATTAAAAAAACTACAACAAAGTTTTAAAGAATTCTATTTTTAAATAATCCACTTGGAAACAATAGGACTTAATTACTCTGCAATAATTTATGGCATTTGTGATGTTCTCTAAGGCAATGGCACCTCAAATAGTTTCCTAATGGTCTTTTTTCAGCACAAAACTAGATTACATTTAGCTACACTGTACTGGGGTGGAAACCTGAACAAGTACAAAACATTGGAAGCCAAAATCCTTCTGCAGGGATATACCACTACAGGGGAGTAAATATGTTTTATTCTTCATGAGCTGACCCATTGAAAGAGTGACCTGTCTGATGGCAGTTTCAATCTAAAAGTATCTATAACAGCCTTCACAATGCTTTTACCTGTTCTAACACACATAGGGCCTGATTTACTAAGATCCCAATTAAAGAGCGCTAAATTGCGTGCGCACACGGATAGATTGCGCGCGCTGCCTGTTCGGGGCTTGAGGGTGATTTACTTAGATTAACAGCGCAATTGACTACAGGTGCAAAAGTGATTGAGCCACCCTATTTAAATGAGGATTTTGCGCGAGTTAAGGGGTTTCACTGTGGCGAATGCAAACGAGCAGATCCAACGGAAGCGCAAAAGGAAAATTTGAAGCACCGGAGTTGGAGGTGCTTGGTACAAGAGGCAAACAAGCACATTTTCTGAGTTTCATAGCAGGCACTGCATGATCCCCTCCTTTGACTGGATCCAAATCAGCTCCTACTTCACGGAGAAGCTCCAAAATGGCATCGCCGGATAACCGATATGTCTCGATTTATTTTTTTTCTGCCATTCAGAGTGACACGAACGAAAAAGATGCATTCTCTCCGTTGCCTGCCTAAGGGCCTGATTTACTAAAGCTTTGCGTGCGTAAAAACGTGCGCAAACGCGACAGCACGCGCAAACACATGTTGATGCTGATCTACCAACCGGGACGGAGAGGTGCGCGTCGCGGTACAGAAATATGCACGCTCTGCGCTAATATTGCAGTGATCGCTATGTGCAGTTTCATGCGTATCGAATGATACATATAATGCCTGCCAGAAGCGCAAAATATTGGGAGGAGTAGATGCAAATAGAATCATTTTGCGCACGCAATGTGATTTACAAACCTAAACTAATTGCGCTGATTATTTTTGCGTCTATATTTAGCAGTTTTGAAAGTCAAGTCTCTAGGCTACCTGGCACAGCCGTGCGCAACAGATGGCTGCGGTCATTGTTGCAAGGAGGCGGCGTAGGCACGACACGCAACGGAGAGAACGCATCTTTTTTCTGTTTTGTCACTCTTTTTGGGAATGGCAGAAGAAAAAATAATCGCAGACATATCAGTTATCCGCGATGCAATGATCCTTGAAAAAAAAAAACAAGTCATTCGTTCAGAGTTCACAAAATCCTTAAATAATAAATGTTGCATATAATGTCAAGTGTTTCTTGTTTGTGCTATTTTGACAAAACCAAAAACTTACATTTTTATGTTCTAAAGCCCACTTTCTTTTAGACATAGGAAACATTTAGTCGCCCAAGTTCCTGTCATTTTTTCCTGAAACTTAAAACAAATGAAAACGCACACACTTCTGCGCCCCTGCTGGAACGTTCATTGACGCACGTTCATGTCTTATGTGGTGTACCTGAATGAATTAAAAATTCCCAGTATCCCAGTAATTGCTATCAAGAACGTCAGTGCACTGCTGTTCAATGGGAGACAGAGGGTCCTCCTCCGCCGGTCCTCCACCTGTTTTAATTTGCCCATTTTGTTATTCTGTGCGATTTTTTCCTTTGTTCTTCTAACGAATGTCTTGCCACTTTTTCTTCATGTTTCAGGTGTTCTTTTGGTTTCCCCCACAGCATTAACCTTGTCACAGACTGCCTCCCATATTGCATTCCTCCTAATAACAGTTAAATTCCTTTGCTATAACTCAGAAATGTGCTTGTTTGCCTCTTGTACCAGCACCTCCAATTCCGGTCCAATTGGATCTGCTCATTTGCATTCGCCACGGTGAACACCCTTAACTCGCGCAAAATCCTCATTTAAATAGGGCCGGCTCGATCACTTTTGCGCCTGTAGTCAACTGCACTGTTAATCTAAGTAAATCACTCGCAAAGCCCAAACAGGCAGCGCGCGCAATCTATCCGTGTGCGCACGCAATTTAGCGCTCTTTATTTGGGATCTTAGTAAATCAGGCCCTAAGACTTGACTTTCAAACGTGCTAAATATAGACGCAAAAATAATAAGCGCAATTAGTTTGAGGTTTGGTAAATCACATTGCGTGCGCAAAATGATTCTATTTGCATCTACTCCTCCTGATATTTTGTGCGTTCTGGCAGGCACGCTTATATTGCATATTCATGAAGGCAGAAACGCAAAATGGATAGCGCCTGTTATTTTGCCCGACTGACAGACGCAATCCTCGGTGCGCCCGGTTGGTAGATCAGCATCAACATGTGTTTGCGCGTGCTTTCGCGTTTGCGCACGTTTTTACGCACGCAAAGCTTTAGTAAATCAGGCCCATAGTGTGTATATACTCACAGCTACACATGCACCATTGCAGAATTCAGACGACCCACTTTGACCTCTGATCGACTGTTTCCTGTCAGGTTCTGTGTAACGTGGATGAGCTGTTCGAGAGAGACGAGCTATCGGCGGCTCCTGATCCCGGCTGGCCGGACTGCTTCAACTCGGGCGTCCTTGTCCTCAGACCGTCCCTCCACACCCACACCAGGCTCATGGATCATGCCCTGCAGCATGGCAGCTTTGATGGTAACACATGTGTACATGTTCAGACTGACAAGCGGAGAATGCTGTGTGCTCTGAATACATATTTTCATACCAAATGAAAAGCAGAGGCAAGGAAATATGTTTGTTTATTAGTTCTGATCTCATAACTCAGCCCAGACACTGTACAGTATATTGGCAGTATGTATCACAGCTGACAGTTCAGAAAGACTGCGCAACATTTAATATTTTTGATAGCCTGTCATAAGTCTGCAATTATTTACACTTGTCACCTCACAAAATAAAACAAAATGGAAATGATTAAATAAATAAAAGTATATGCTTGAAATGTCCTTGCATTCATATTTCTTTAAAGAAGCTTTTTCAAAGTTTTGCTTTTGCTACATAGCCAACATTAGCATCAGTATAGCAACAGCTGATTACTTACCAGCCTTGACAACTTGTTGCGTTTACAAGACAAGACATAATACGTCCTCTGAGCAGCACTATATCTTGAGGGCAGATTGGAGGCTACAGTGATTTGCCTTTGGAAAGTGAGGAGATGGGCCAGGGCTAGCTGGTTAACATGCTGAAGAGGGTTGCCTTCCATCTCTGGAGACAACTCTCAGGGCCTGATTTACTAAAGCTTCGCGTGCGTAAAAACGTGCGCAAACGCGACAGCACGCGCAAACACAAAAAGTCATTCGTTCAGAGTTCAGAAAATCCTTAAATAATAAATGTTGCATCATAATGTCAAGTGTTTCTTGTTTGTGCTATTTTGACAAAACCAAAAACTCACATTTTTATGTACTAAAGCCCACTTTCTTTTAGACATAGGAAACATTTAGTTCGGCCCCAGTTCCTGTCATTTTTTCCTGAAACTTAAAACAAATGAAAACGCACACACTTCTGCGCCCCTGCTGGAACGTTCATGACGCACGTGGTGTACCTGAATGAATTAAAAATATTCCCAGTATCCCAGTAATCTGCTCATCACAGAACGTCAGCTGCACCTGCTGTTCAATGGGAGACAGAGGGTCCTCCTCCGCCGGTCCCCCACCTGTTTTATTTGCCGATTTGTTATTCTGTTCGATTTTTTCCTTTGTTCTTCTACGAATGTCTTGCCACATTTTCTTCATTTCATTCTTTTAGTTTTCCCCACAGCATTAACCTTGTCACAGATTGCCTCCCATATTGCATTCCTCCTAATAACGGTTAAATTCCTTTGCTATAACTCAGAAATGTGCTTGCAATAAAGGCGCGCAATCTATCCGTGTGCGCACGCAATTTAGCGCTCTTTATTTGGGATCTTAGTAAATCAGGCCCAAAGAGTGCTAAATTGCGTGCGCACACGGATAGATTGCACGCGCTGCCTGTTTGGGCTTTGCGAGTGATTTACTTAGATTAACAGCGCAGTTGACTACAGGCGCAAAAGTGATCGAGCCGGCCCTATTTAAATGAGGATTTTGCGCGAGTTAAGGGTGTTCACCGTGGCGAATGCAAACGAGCAGATCCAATTGGACCGGAATTGGAGGTGCTGGTACAAGAGGCAAACAAGCACATTTCTGAGTTATAGCAAAGGAATTTAACCGTTATTAGGAGGAACGCAATATGGGAGGCAATCTGTGACAAGGTTAATGCTGTGGGGAAAACCAAAAGAACACCGGATGAAATGAAGAAAAGGTGGCAAGACATTCGTAGAAGAACAAAGGAAAAAATCGCACAGAATAACAAATCGGCAAATAAAACAGGTGGGGGACCGGCGGAGGAGGACCCTCTGTCTCCCATTGAACAGCAGGTGCAGCTGACGTTCTGTGATGAGCAGATTACTGGGATACTGGGAATATTTTTAATTCATTCAGGTACACCACATAAGACATGAACGTGCGTCATGAACGTTCTTTAGCTGTGCAATGGAAAAGCGTAATTGCCAAAAGGGTTTTTTTTTGTGTGCGTTCCAGCAGGGGCGCAGAAGTGTGTGCGTTTTCATTTGTTTTAAGTTTCAGGAAAAAATGACAGGAACTAGGCCGAACTAAATGTTTCCTATGTCTAAAAGAAAGTGGGCTTTAGTACATAAAAATGTGAGTTTTTGGTTTTGTCAAAATAGCACAAACAAGAAACACTTGACATTATGATGCAACATTTATTATTTAAGGATTTTCTGAACTGAACGAATGACTTTTTTTGTTTTGCATCACCGGATAACCGATATGTCTCGATTATTTTTTCTTCTGCCATTCCAAAGAGTGACACGAACAGAAAAGATGCGTTCTCTCCGTTGCGTGTCGTGCCTACGCCGCCTCCTTGCAACAATGACCGCAGCCATCTGTGCGCACGGCTGTGCCAGGTAGCCTGAGACTTGACTTTCAAACCTGCTAAATATAGACGCAAAAATAATCAGCGCCATTAGTTTGAGGTTTGGTAAATCACATTGCGTGCGCAAAATGATTCTATTTGCATCTACTCCTCCCAATATTTCACGCGTTGTGGCAGTCACGCTTATATTGCATATTCATGAAGGCAGAAGCACAAAATGGATAGCGCCTGTTATTTTGCCCGACTGACAGACGCAATCCTCGGTGCGCCCGGTTGGTAGATCAGCATCAACATGTGTTTGCGCGTGCTGTCGCGTTTGCGCACGTTTTTACGCACGCAAAGCTTTAGTAAATCAGGCCCTTAGTGAGTAAAGGAATTAAGTTTTATGCTGCAGTTATCATGCAAACCAACTAGCCCTGGCCTGTCTCATCACTTTCGAATAACAAGTCACTGTAGCCTCTAATCTGACCTGAGGATGTAGTGCTGCTCAGAGGATGTATTATAACCTTTTTTCTTGTAAATGCAACAACAGTTTTTCTATCCCATATGTTCTATCGCCCCCTGCCCCCCTCCCTTGCTGTGTCTGTTGCTCTCAGGAGGGGATCAGGGCCTGTTGAACTCCTTCTTCAGTGGCTGGCCAGTGGAAGACATCAGTAAACACTTACCGTTTGTGTACAACCTCAGCGCCAGCTCCATCTACAGCTACCTCCCTGCTTTCCAGCAGTGAGTGTGTCTGCACCACCTGTGGCTGATTTTCATTACACTCAGAGGAGGAAGGATACATCTCAATTCTGATTGTGGATTAGGGTTAACCCCAGTTTCAGTCTGCCTTAGTTATGAATTATTTCATCTGAAAGGCAAAGCTTCCAAGCGATGCTTTTTGGAGGAAGCTTTGAACTGCATAAAAAATGAGTCTTTTAACATGAAAATATGTCCATTTGCATCCACTTGTATCTTTCCATTGAATTAGAATGGAACTGACTGATGCTAGTCTGATATATCTTCATGGAAACCAAATTATATTGGTACAGATCGGAGCAGAAAACCCAAAACTGAAAATAAATCTGATGGTTTTTGTACCTCCAGGTTTGGCCATAATGCAAAGATTGTCCATTTCCTGGGACCAGTGAAACCCTGGAGTTCCAGCAGCCAGAGGGATGATGACCACTCACACGCCATGGAGCAGTTTGTGACTCTTTGGTGGAAGGAATACCTCAGTCACACAACACCATCTACACCAGGGAAACAGCCCAGTCAAGACTGGGAGAAACCACAGCAGGTACCAAGATCTATGTGATGTTAGAACTCCATGAGAAGCAAGTGAACCCCAAGAAAAAAAAATCACTTGCCTTTTTTTTCAACAAAAACATTTTTGTGGAAGAATAAATTATGAAATAAATTTTCACATTGTTAATTTTTTTGTTTGTGAAACATTATTTTTCTACATTTTCACAAAATTTTATTTTATTTCATTTTGTTTTAGAAATTTTTTTTTGTTGTTGAAATAATTGTGCTTGCTTTTCCAAGCTCATAGGTGAATATTTCTAAACATATATAAATATATAGTTCCTAAAATAACTGGTCACTGTAGTTTCTAACAGATGTCAGAACTCAAACAGGACAATAGTGCTGGGGATTATTTTCAGTGGCAGATGAAGCCACAGTCTATGCTGTAATGAGTATTTGGGCATTTTTATAGGATTTATATGATTTTAAGTGTAATCTTCAGCGGTGTCACTCAACGCTGTACAGAGTAGGAAGTCGGCCATGTTTGGCAGACGCCCTGCAGGTTTTGCCGCCAAACCCTCCATCAGCACACTTACTGATGACTTCCCCCCTCCGTAGCTGAAGGTTTGCTAATCAGTTACATAAGCTGCTGTGGAGAGTTTGGCTTGAGCGTAAACATGCAGACTGGAAGCCAAACGCGACACATGGCTGCCCAGTCCTGGTCTTGGTTGTGGTCCCAGCACTCAACATCCTCCCTTGTTTCGCAGATCCGAGAACCCGAAGCCAAGATGCCGTTTAAAGAAAACCTGGACAGCTCCGAGTCACTGCTCGCACATTTTTCACCCCCGACTGCACTGTCTGAATCAAAGATGGTAAACTGAGACACCACATTATTGATCTGTTTACTTTTCTGTTGTGTCACTGTTGGATATTAGATTTTTTTTGGTTGTAGTATCTTTATGAATGTGTGTTTTTGTATGTGTGAAAGCACAGTACCTCAGCAATACATAAAAAAACTAAATTCAGTTTTCGAAACCATAACTTCTCACTCCAAAGTCATAATTCTGAAAGCTGCTGTTTTGTTGAAGCTTTCTCTTTGAAGTTGGAACCATCAAATATTTGTCACTTATGCTTGAAGATTGACTTAAACGATTAATCAGTTATGAATTCCAGTAGAAACGTTCAATAGACATGGGTGTCTCACAGGGGCTGCGAGCCAAGCTGCTGCTTAAGTTTGCTGAGTATTTTTTCTCTGATAACTTAAAATCCAGATGGCCGATGACTAAAATCCTTGATCTGGTTAAAATATATAGTTAAAGGTAGATGTCTGTGTGTTTTTTGATTATAAAGTAGGTCTAGGTTCAATATTAATACTGTGAAAGTATCAAAGCGCTCAGTCCACACATCCTGTTTTCAGAAGCTGAGCCGTATAACAAGCTGTCAGGACTTCCTGAACATTGTGATGTCATAACAAAGCAGTCATCGCTCTTCGCCATTCAACCTTGCAGGATTTGTTTTCTCTGAGTGATTACCTGAATTCTGCTGTATTTTTTATTGGATAACTCAGAAAACAGTCAACCAATCAGAAGAGGATTGGGTCTGGGTGGGTGGGGCTGAGGGCAGTGACTGCTTTGTTGTGATATCACAAAGTTCAGGAAGTCCTGACGGCTGGTTTTAAGGCTCAGTTTTTGAATACAGGCTGTGTGCATTTCTCTGACTGAGCACTTTGATACTTTCACAGCATGAACATATATTAAACAATCAGCTCATGGACATCCTCCTTTGTGGGATATGGGACCTTTAAAGCATGTAAGCTAGTAGCACCAAATAAAAGCATGAACCTGTAAATGAGCATAATATGCCCCCTTTAATTTAAAGTCACATATTTACTGTGAAGCTTAGTAAGTAGTCATTAGAAATAATTGCTAATCAATCTATTAATTAGCCTAATGAATGACCTTATCAGCATAGCTGCTGGTGTTTATAATATATCATGGTGATTATTATGGTGGGTTATTAGGCAGCTCGAGTGCCTCTTGTTAGTTCCAGTAGATGAGACTGTTAATTTATGAGTGTTTCTGCTTGACTGCGCTTGACTCCAGCAGAAAAGAAGAACACAGGGACACGGAGCCCATTATCTGCCACAGGCCTCTGAGCCTTTCATTGCATTTCTGCCATTTGTTTCATTTCATTTCAGCTTGATGCATTGTGTTTATACAAGCTTGTAAGATTAGCCTGAATAGACACACGCCCAACAGCCATGACCGTGCATCAACAGTGTTATCACAGCCAGACTGGAGCTTTTAAACATCACTCTGATGCTACGATGTCACTCCTGTAGTTACAATGAGTAACATGACTTTTCTATCTGTAGTCTTTCCACACAGATGATGCAGAATTTGAGGAAGAGAGATCACATGAGAGAACAGAGATCCAGGGCTCAGCTTTGGGTGCAGTGGGGTTGGAGGGCAGCCATGGACCTGCAGACTCTTGGACACATCCTGTATGTAAACCTGACCTCTCTGACTCCTGTACCCCCCTGGTTCTCATACAGAAAAAATCAGATTCTTTGATAAAAAGTAAAATGTACACACTAACTATGCCTAGCAAGGTGCCACCAAACTTACTGATTAACTGGGGTAAAAAGATACATATAAAACAAAAACCTTAAAATGATTCAAAGTGATGGATGGACATAACATAAACCAAAAACATATTTTAAGGTCCCATATTGTATAAAGTGAGATATCCATTTCCATTGATTTTAAAGCAGGTCTGGGTTCTTTATTAGTACTGTGAACGTATCTAAGTGTTCAATCGATGGACAGCCCATATTAAGAAACTGAGCAGAACTTCCTGTAGTTTGTGATGTCCCCACAAAACAGTCACCGCCCAAGTATAAAATATGGGAATTAAATTATCCAGGAGATACAAGCTTGTTTTTTATCTTAATGAATTTGGATGAAATTTTTTGTATTCACACGAGGCATCAGATAAATTCCCTGATAGCACAGATGCTGTGATCATTTCTGCTGACTCTAGATTAGATGATTTGGGTAACACTCCTCTGTAGCCCCAACCCCAAAGCTGTACCACAGTGCGCTTTAAAAACATGTTTGGAGCATATTTAGGCATTTGGAGGTAAATTAAAACAGGTTCACTATAAATGTAATTGCCTTATTACTTAACCATCTATTAAGCATTAGTAATTAATGCTTTGTTAACCATTAATAAAACCTTTATAAATGACATCTTATCAGAAGATTTTCCCTGTTCAGGGTTGAAAGGATGATGAGGGATGAGTTGCAATCAATCAGACATGGGTTAGTTGAAAGTGTACAGATGACGCACATGAAAGAAAAATGAAAATCTACAAATTCTGAACTGCTTATTCTGTTTGTGCAAAAAGATGAGAGCTTGAACCTCAAATTCAGCCCCTGAAAAGATAGTCTGATGTTCCCTGTGATAAATTCTCTTTGAAGACTGATTTGTTATTCTCCCTCTTCGCCGGGGCAGAGGGCTGCAGACAGAGAGAGTGAGCAGCTGGAGCATCGCAGGCTGTGGGAGGCTGGACAGGCCGACTACCTGGGTAGAGACGCCTTCGAAAACATCCAGAGGAAGCTGGACCGCTTCCTGGACTAGAAGACCGCATATAAGAACACCCCTGTGCACCACTCCGGACTATCTTCATGAGGACTGAACCCAACATGTGACTGCACCAAATTCCACTGATATTTTGTGCCACTGTCAATAAACTAGAATTCACTACTGAGTACTTTTTGTTTTTGTCAAGTAGTCAAGAATTTTAATTAGGCAGCCATTGTCCAATTAAAAAACCACCAAAACCAACAGCTCACTAATTTTAAAGGCCCATATTTGACTCTTTCCCTGTGTTTTATTTTGAAGTATTGAACGTTAAGAAGATATATTTGTGGTTTAAAGAACCAAAAACCTCTCACTAATCTCTATGTAGTTTTACATCTCATGTACTTTACATACTCTCTAGAGCTCTATAAACAACAGCTCAGTGAGCCAATCAGAAGAGAGGAATCTCTGAGCCTCTCTTCTGCCCATGTGTTGTTTGATTTTAAAGCAGGTCTAGGTTCTATATTAATTCTGTGAAAGTATCAAAGCGCTCAGTCCACAGAGAAATGCACACAGCCTGTATTCAGAAACTGAGCCTTAAAACCAGCCGTCAGGACTTCCTGAACTTTGTGATGTCACAACAAAGCAGTCACTGCTCTCAGCCATGCCTCCTGCACAGCCTACCTGGAGCCCACCATCCCAACCCTGCAGGATTTGGTTCCTCAGAGTGTTTACGTGAAATGTGCTATATTTCATTGGCTCACTCAGAAAGCAGTCAGCCAATAAGAAGAGAGGCTCAGAAGGACCTTTAAACATCACAGGAAATGTAAATTTATGTAGCATTAACTATACATATTGAAAATACACTGGGTTAATTGTTGTTTACATTCTCATTACTGTTACTGAGGCTTCTGCTCATATCAAATATCAGTATTTTTGATTAGCTGTTGCATAAACATTCAAACAATCATCCTTAATCAAACAAAGAATAAGTGTTGCAGAGAACCTTTCATATAATTACACACAGCTGAATACAACCGTCTTTACTGAGGAAGCGTCATCAACACAGTGGAGGATATTTTCAGCTCCACATCCCCAAACAAGCACTGACGCATCAAACACTGACTCTCTACTATGTTGCTTATTTTTCTTCCCTACACTGTGGTTCATATAAACTGTGATGCGCTGTAGTAATAAATATTGTATGATAGCACTGACATGATATTCATCATGTAATTTTAGATCATGTAGATAAATAGAAACCATCTATTTCTACACACATATGCAGACATATGTTAATTCCTCCACCAGGGGGCACTGTGCCTCTTTTATCAGAGCTCTCTCCAAATCTTGGAGGCAATTCAGAGAAGCAGGGACACAGATTAATAGATGTTTGACTGCAGTCAACAGTATGCTATGTGATCCTTATCCGCTGGGTACACGGTGCATGTAATTTTCATTGGCATTCCCCTCATAATGTCGTGACACAGCGATGGAAGATAGTGTGCAGAATACAAAGCTAAATGTCAGGAGGTGAGCTCAGGGTCCGGGCAGAGCTCAGTGCCATCAGTGAAAAGGCCTTGTGATGATTGCTTTGAAAGACAACCTAGCGTGCTGCTCTCGGGCTGAGCGGCTCCCGCTCGACTCCAATTCATCAAGATTAAAGAGCGAGCAGCAATCTGGGATGAGTTGCCGGTTTCCCGTGACCGCCTCATTCATTATAAGCTCTGTGAAGGCAGAAGGAATCAGAGATCAGTCCATGCAGATGCAGACATTGGATTCTAGGCTCAGGAGGTAGAGCAGGTCCACAAAGCTTTAGGTTGGTGGTTTGATTCTTGGTTCCTCCAGTCCACGTGTCAAGTGTCTTTGGGCACGATACTGAACCCTAAATTGAACAACTGTTCAGGGGGCTGAAACATTTATATCTCCTTCTCACTTCTAATAGTAAATATTACAATACTGTATATTTCCCATATTCATGCCTGGAAGAATCTTGTACTATGATTACAGACATCCCACCTAAAGTGGAGCGGACCACTTCTAAACCTTGACGTTAGCTGAACTCCATCAGTGGCTAGCATCTCTGCTCCTGTGCGTTGCACAAGAAAATTAAGACACTGTAGGTAAATGTAAGTAGCAGCAGCTATCTAGCTTGCTATACAGCCATTTTTACCAGCTTGTCCAGTTCATGTCAGACATGCTGCTGCCCCAGCAGACTGCAGCATAAAAGAGTACACTGGTCACCACTGACTGATAAAACATGCAGCATTTCACTGCAGACGTCAAAGGACCTGAGCCTCTTGAGGAAAAAGAGCCGGCTCTGCCCCTTCAGGTAGATGACATCCGTGTTCAGGGACCAGTCAAGTTTACTGTCCAGGTGCACATTTATAAGTGTGCACCACCTCAATGTCCGTCTCTCGAATGTTGACTGGCTGAAGGGTGGCCCTAGACATCTGAAAGTCGATGAACATCTCCTTGGTCTTGGAGGTGTTCAGAAGGAGGCAGTTGTTGTCGCTCCATCCACTGAAGGCCATCGTCAGATCGCTGTACCCTTTTTCCTGCCCATTCCTGATATGCGCCACAATAGCTGTGTCATCTGAGTATTTCTGGATGTGGCAGGACTCAGAGTTGTATTTAAAGTCGGCTGTATACAGGGTAAACAGGAACAGAACCAGAACAGTCCCCTCTGGAGCCCCAGTGCTGCTCACCAGCTGGCTCATCCAAGTAAGAATGGGCTGGTGGAGCATGTAAAGGACGGCATCATCCACTCCAATATGTTCTTTGTAGGCGAACTGTAGGGGGTCTAGTGCATGTTCAACCTGTGGCCTCAGAAGGTGGAGAAGCAGCCGCTCCAGGGTCTTCATAATGTGTGATGTGAGGTCCCCCGGTTTGTAGTCATTTATCTCATCCTACTTTAGGTACCGGAACAAGACATGATGTTTTGCACAGGGACCGGGACCCTCCCTGTTTGTAGGCTTAAGTTAAAGATCCTCTGGAGAGGCTCAGCCAGCTGGGCTGCACAGTCGTTTAACAGCCACGGACACACACCATCCAAGCCTGTTGCCTTTCCAGGACGTAGCCGCTTGAACTCCACCCTCACCTCCTACACTGTAAAGGACAGGAGACCTGACCCCAGTGTGGAGGGAGTTGCTGGTTGACAGGTTGAACTCATTGGCCTTGTCCACGTCATCTGAAATGAACACTGAAATGAATGAACCAACATGGCAGTCTAAGATAATTGAAGGCAAAAATGTTATGTATTTTCACAGTATTATTATTTAGACCAGCTAGAAATCTCAACATTAGCTGCATTTAATTAAAGGTAAAAAAAATTCAAATTAAAGTTAGGATATCATAGTTAACATGTCAACACAAGGGATACAGACTAATAACAACGCCATCAGGCTCAGTTGGACTTTATATTTATTACTAATGTTGATATTAGCATGCCAACATGCTAAACTGAGATGGTGAACATGGTAAATATTATCTGTTCAATATCAGCATGATAACAATGTCATTGTGAGGATGTTATGGTGATGTTAGCATTTAGCTCAAAGTACAGCACAGCTAGATGTTAGCCTCCATTGCACAAAGTACTTCGACATTTCTTTAATCATTCTTTTATCAGAAACTAGAATATATCATAGCAATCCATCCAATATTTTACTTGTGGTGGCGCTCAATGAAAAGTCAGGGGATTATCAAAGTCTGAGGGATTCACCCCCTCAAGACCATGAACACAATTTGGCACTGCCAAGATATTGGTGACATCACAGAGGCTACGTCCATCTTTATTGTTAGTCTATGGTTTTAACCATTTATGGCCAGTAAAAAAAATTAAATTCTACAGAATTGAACCACAAAGAAAATTTACTAGAAAACAAAAGTCTTCAGTTTATCTGAATGAAATCAAAAACACAACTCCCAGAGAGCCTTCAGCCTCACTTACGTAACCAGCACTGACCCCACAAAGAATTTCACCGCACTTACCCAGTCTATTTGTTTTGACAGTGTGGGGCTGACACCTGTACGTGCTTCCAAGAAATTCCGCCTTTGTCGGGCACATAAGTGCAAAAAGGAGGATGAAGCTGAGCAGCGCGCTTGGTCAAATATCCAGGCAGTCCAAGCTGTTTGGTCTAGATTGGTGAGGCACCTGGGTTCTACTGTTTACTCCCTTCACTTGTTTATTCTTTATTTTCAACAAAACTTCTTTGAGTCTCTTTAGCTGAACAAATAGTGCTGATAATGTCCCTATCTGGAACTCCTCTGTGGGTTGATGAGCACACTATCTTGTGCTCGATGGAGGCAGAAAAGAGGAAAAGGAAGGAAAGAAAATGAGTGTGTACAGGTGTGGGCTATACATCCATGCCAGTCAGTCCCAGCTGTTAAAGCCAAACTGTGATTGCCTTCAGATACACACAGGCTGGACGAGAGGGAAATGTGATAACTGTCAGAGAGTCCTAAGCACCTCCATATGTTTTGGGTTAACTGCTTTGAGCTGCCTCCTCCGCTCATCATTTGTGCAAGGCGTCGCATGACTATTTTGATTCATGCTTTAAGCCACTCAGCTAATTTGATCAGTGGTTCAACCAGAGGCTTTGGATTCTAATGACCCCCAATTTCTGCGATCAGGCTAATTGGGGATTGCGAGAGTAATGGCAGTCAGCTGTGGACGGGGATCTCGGGTGAGCTCATTCCGAGGCTCCTGACGGGGTGGAGCAGACGGGTGGAGTTGGTCTTTGCAGTGGCAGCCAGCCCACTCAAACTGGGCCACAAACCAAACCAGATTCCCACAATTAGACAAGTAAGCACTCTCACACTTCTTGACTTGCTGAGATACATATTTCAGAAAGCTCGCAAAAGAGGATTACACAGTTGGTGATGCTGCTACTGGGTCCAGAATCCCATTTAACCCAGGCTCAATAAATTAAATAAAACTCAGAAGCATGATGGCCTACAGGCATGTTCCCAGACCAATCCAAGGTGAAGAGTGAAGGGTTCATTCTAAGCAAATGAAAACACAGCCATCTGATTTGAGCAGGGAATCAAACCACCAACCTTCTTCTTGGTGGATGACCTGCTCTACCTCCTGAGCCACAGTGGGTTTTTACTCTAAACTGTGCATAGAACAAAATAATTTTTCGTTTAATGCATGAACATTTTCTTGTTTATACTCGTGGTATA